CCACCCTGCAGCCCCCTTGACATTCATGTCAATGCCATTTTCTTCTTTTTATATATATAATTATCTGTAGCAACATTTAAAATGCAAAGATTTTGTGGCACTTTCTTCAGGTTTAAAGCCTCTTAGCAGGTTGGACGGAAAGCAGAAGAACAAAAACAACAACTAGACTCTTCTGTGTCAGAGTCAAAACAGATTTCTAGAAAGTAATGCCAATTAAATAAAATATGAAATGCAAAATAAGTGATTGCATAAGTATTCAACCCCCTTCAGGTCAGTATTTAGTAGATGTACTTTTGGCCACACTTACAGCATAGATTTTACACCATGTCAAACATTGCAAATGAACACAGATGACCATACTATCATCGTCCATACACAGCCTGTTGGTACTGAACCTCCACATTTGGGTCCTTTGACACCGGAGCCAATACCTTTGATAAAAAAATATGAGATATCTTTGACAGCTCCAAAAGACAAGTCAGTGAACAAAGCGGACTAGCTGAGGAAGTGAAACGTTCAGGTTTCATCTGATACCCTGATCTAATAAGGACTACAAATGGCGGACAGCATCATCAGTTTCACCTCAGGTTGTTTTCACCCTGAGAAATGACTGATGCAGCAGATTCAGACTGAATGTTCAGACATGCTCAGGGAAAGATTACATCACCATCCCCTAACAGACAAAAAGTGTCACATCAAGCAGCCAGTGATTTCTCTCCTCCTGAGGTTTCAGAGAGCGGAAATCTGCAGAAAGAGACTGCCGCCTCTGTAACAAATTTCAAGTTTTACAGAAAAACTGCAGTCACAAAATGATAACCATTTCACTCTTCAGAGACAAATGAAATCTATTTCATATTTTCTGCAATCGCACACGAGACAAACTGAAACACAACCTCCTCAACACCGCAGGCTATATTATTCATCATTTAATCAACATTGTTGTGTTCACTGTTCGACTCCTGCTCGATGTAAACATGAAAATAATGTGACAGGCTGCATAAAACCAGACCAAGGAAATCAATAAACACCTGGAAGTCAAGTAAACATTTGAAATTCAGATCCACTTCTGCTCAAGTCTTTGGTAAATTATTCAGTGAAAATCCCCCAAGCAAAAACCATTTTGTCACCTAAATACAGAAGGATTTTAAAACATCTTTGTATAGCAGTGACTGTTCAGATAACTTGTTTGTTTGTTTGTTTTTTTAAAGCAGGCTTTAAGTTAAAATTTAAATGGCAGTTCAAGTGGCATTAATTTGCCAAAATGACTTGAAGATTCAGTTTAGTTATGAACATAGCTGAAGTGCCCTTTTAGCCAAGTGTGAATGTGCTAAGAGAAGCTGATACCTCCTTAATGTGAGAAATTGAGCTGGTTGTGTTAGTTTGTATAGAAGCCTTGAAAGAGCTCAGTTTAAGAATAAAAGCTGAAAAATGTTAGTTCAGGTGTTGAATAAAGTGTAAGCACTGAAAGCAGTTGGGATCAGTTTTAAGGTGAAAGCGCTGACGACACTAACAGCACTTAAAATGCCAGCACTGAAAGGAATGTTTTCACTTTATTTATTTATTTTTATTTATTATTTTTTAATGATATATAGCATGGTATCTGTTTCATACAACACCAAAGGCATTTATGAGTTCTGTCTACTGGTAGTCATGGTTGTGCTGTTTTCATAGACGTGCAGGATTTTATTTTAATTTTTTTGCCGTGAAAAATGAGCAGGAACAAAAAACATCCAGAAAATATTTGGAGTAAAGAGGGTTAAGAAGTTGAAGTTCTGAAAGATCCAGAAGTTAGAAAGTAGATACAAGCACTGAAAGGAGGAGAAGTGTCAGCTGAAATGTAGAAGCAAAAGGAAGATGTGTCGGGTGAAGTTTCAGCACTGAAAGCAGTTGAGGTAAACTGTAGAGCAGCTGATGTTGTGTTCCAAGAAAACTAAAGTGCACAAGTAAATGTCCATTTACACCTAGTATTGATGTGCAATCTGTATCTGGATACTTTTGTCCAGTCCATGGGTCCCAAAATCCTTCTGCACGATTGGAATTTCCGAGAACAAGTTTACAGTCTGCTTTAAGGGATACCAGGAAGGAATCTCTCTATGAATGGCACAGAAACATGTGAACTCCTTTAAAAAAAAGGGAAAAAAAAGAAACAGGAGATGAAAGGGCTTTCGCTCAGTCTGTTTACAAGGAGGACTTCAAGAGAAGAAGAGGTTGGAGTTGTTCTTAAAGTTAAATGTCAACAGTCAGAAAGTTGATTGCATTCAGGCCTGCAAATACACAGGAGGTCAGGGGTCAGCCTGTTCATTTAGTGAGGGATCAGTGATGCTGATCGACTGTCAGTTGCCTTTCTGTTGCTTCGCTCTGAAGGCTGAAGATGCTCAGAGAATCGCAGTCAGTGAGTTCACGGAAAATGTGAAGCTCAACCAGCTGAAAACTGATGGTCCAACTGAACTGGAAGAAACGGTCCAATGATTTGTTGTAGATGCATTTGTGTGTG